CGTTCGAAGCTGTTGTAAATTACTCTACAAACATACACCTTTATTTACGTCTGTCTGTTGCTCGGCAACCACTTTGTTGCAACCACAACTGTTTCTGAGGAGCTACATTGTTTGGTGGAAGAATACTGTTTTTATTAATATCATTACACTTTATTTGCTCTGTTTTATTTTGTGAAATCTTACTACGTATATAGATGCTTCGCGTCGTGCTTAGCTGTTATAAATTCACTGTAAACCACGGCTTCTTGGGGCTTATTGCTTTAATTGGCGGTTGGTCACGAAGAGTGTTTTCTTGGTGTGAGTGAATCAGTTCTGATTCATACGAGTCATGACTCTCTGTGCTCCGCAGACTCGTGTCTGGAGAACGACAGTCTGTCTCTGGAGGATCAGGCGGAGACGGCGAGTCTGCGCAGCCGAGGCAGTGTCCAGTCTCTGGGCAGCGGAGAGTCTGCGCAGCCGCGGGGCCCGATGCCCAAACGCCAGGCTTTCGGCCCCGGACAGGTGTTCAGCAGCACACAGGGCCAGCAGGTGTTAGTGCTGCCCTCCGCTGACCATCACCTGATGGAGGTCAACGTCACATGACCCGCCGGGGGTCACACGGACACAAGACTCGCCTCCGTCACGCGCTTCATGAGACACCAGCTGTCTCTCAGATATCCCATAATGCCTTGCAGCCCCTCCTCTGTGTGCTCAGGCGTGTGTGTGTGTGTGTGTGTGTGTGTGTGAGAGAGAGAGAGACACCTGCTGTACATAATAGATGCGATTAAAGAGAATCTTCTGAACCAAATACACTCAATCATGATCACTCACACTGGGGTTCTGGGATTTGCATATTTAATTTTGTATTGGTTTTTGGAACTAAAGGTTTCCAGGGAAACGCCTGCGCGTTATTGACTCAAGACACGCCCCTTCCTGCCGATGTCACATGATTGATGCGTCGCAATGACGACCATCGTGACAAATCTGGTTTTTGTTTAATGCATATGAAGAACAGTCATATTTCGCTCCATTTTAGACATGAAAAGTGAATTAAAAATTTAAGCTCACATCAGTGGGTGTATTTGTTATAATGCTCAAAACTGAACACGTGATTTTCATAATTGTTCATGCAAAAAAAAAAAAAAAAATGTATCCGAAAAATAATTTCTATTATTTTTTTTTGCATACCTTTTTGCTTATTATTTGCATAAAATAAATATAAATGACAAAAAAATTATATTAATAATTTTGCATAAAGTTTATTTGACATTTGTACTATAAAAGTAATGCAAAAAAAAGTGTGTATGTATATATTTGCATACATTTTATATTACATTTATATGTAATATATGTGAATATATATATAGTTTTTTTAATGCAAAAAAAAAACTTGAATTATTTTTTAGATACATTTAAAATTATATACATGCAAATAAATTGGCTTTTTTGCATTAATTAATTTAGATTTTAATGGTCATAAAAATTGACTTCATTTTCTGTTGGTTTTGGGCTGAAATATGACCTGGGCGTGTGTTTTTGTGATGTTTGTGTTTGGATGTGTGTAAATCTCACAGAAAGTGTCTGTCAGGACGGAATCGATTCAGATCCATCAGCTCTGTACAGTAACGAGAGCCTGACGACAGACAGCAGGAAGTGATGCGTTTCTCCAGGAGGAAGAGGCTTGATGTGAATGTCGTGCGTCTCGTGTGTCGTCTGTGTTTCAAACCTGAGAAACAGAGAAGCTGATGTGGGAACAGCAGTCGTCATATTGTCACAAAACTTCACGAAACTTCACACGCATCACCTCTTCAGTTCATCTGCTCACTATTTATTTCCTGGATTATCGTTGCTTTGCTCTGGTTGGGTTCAGGACCTCGTGATTCTGGACTTCAGACGTCATGAACACAAGCTGTTTGTAAACTGTCAAACATCACAGATTGTATTTAGATTATTTAAATGAGAAGAATATGTACGCATTATACAACTGAAAATATACATATGTTTTAAAAGGATGTTTGTTGTCTTGTTTTTCTATTAAAAAAAGTCTATTAAAAAGAAAATATTTCTACATGAAAATTCGTTCAGCATATCTTCAACATACAGGCTTCTGTCTAGTAGCCCATTTTCAACATTTTTAAAATAATACCAAAAAACCCTAAGATTATTTAAATAATCAGTGTTCACAAACCTGCTTATTTAAAATGACAAAATTTCATTTTTTTTTTATTTCTGGAAAAGAAAAACTCATTAAATTCCCTTACTGTTTTATTACAAGTTTTATTTGAGATGCCAAAGTGACAATTCTCACAAAAAAAAACTTCTCACAATTCTGACTTTTATTTTGAAATTCTTAGGTCACATCTTGCAAATGTTTTTTCAGCTATTAAAAAATAAAAAGGTCATTTTTTTTTATCCCACAGTTTGAACTTTTTTTTCCTGTTTTTCCTGTGTGTGTGCGCGTGTGAGTGTGTGTGTGTGTGCATGAGAGTGTGTGTGTGTGTGTGTGTGTG